GTCCCATCTTTTCCCCTTGGTTAGAAAATGCTTTGAGAATTTATTTTTGAGTTGGATGGGGTTGCTGACACTCCTGTGTCTTGTTTTCAACCCTTGAACTGGAATGCTTAAGGGTCTGGGAACAATAAATTCTTTGATGTTTTTTATATCTTTGGAGTCCAATGTTTTGTCTACTATTACTCATGAGTCAGTCCCTGCCTCTCAGTCTAAAGCAGGAGTGTCAAACACACAGCGTCACATTGTCATCAAGTGATGTATCCTTTTCCCCCTTCGTTAAACCAGGGGTGGGCATGGCCAGCGCATGACGCATCTGGTTGCGGCCATGAGTTTGACACCTCTGTTCTAAAGGGACTCTTGCCACATATTCCAATTGTTGATAACCTAATTGCCATTGTGGCCAGGAAGCTGGAATACCACATTTCAAAAACCTCTAAGAAGTTTACATAATTCTTATCAATAGCCATAGCTGTTAGGAACTGTTCAGTTCCTCCCTTCTGCTATCAATTATTAGTTGCTAGCTGCTTTAAAAATTTTCTTGCAATTTTAAAAGTTCTTTTTATACTGTTATATGCTGGTCTTTTATTGAAGTTTGGACTTGCACTGTAATTAAATTTTGAGTATTTAATTGAAAGTTCACATTTATACCAAATGCATTGTGGAAGACATTATGAGTAATAATCATAAATCTCTGTCAATTAAATATGCATTGATGGACCTATGTAAAATAGTTATATTGATCAAAATTTCACAGAAATCTGATGCCTCTTCAAACTCAGTACGGATGCAGCCAACAATGTCAATAACACCAATTTCAGTGTATTTAAACAGGTATTGTTTGGGGTTACATTCAGTTTAGATTGCTTGTACCAGTTCAATTCCTTGTACCAGTTCAATTAGTAGTAATAACAGTTCAGTTTGCTTTTGTTTTCTTGGCTTTTTAAGATACAGTTTCATTATGAACTCCTAATACACCCCAACAGAAAGGCTAATAATATTACAGCAGTAGTGGTTTTATAATCTTGCATGGTTATTCCCTCCCACCATTTTTTATTATGGTAAACTAGTGTTTATAGCTTACTTTGCTGTAGCTTTCAGAAGTGTAATTGATTGGCTGATTACAGATCAATCGACTTTGCTCACAATAATATTTATCTTTCATATTACTGTATTTTGATGTTTATTCAGAACCATTAAAATAAGGCACATGACATAAAATGTAAAATGTAAAATACAAGATTAAAATCTATACAAGTTAAACAGATCTTGCCCAGAGACTAGCAACATTAATTGTGTTCTGTTGCACTGCTATGAGGTCCTCAAATGTACACCAGTCAGCACACAAACAGCAGGTATACATATATGTATGTTACTCTATTTTGATATTCAACCTTAGCACATATAAGCACTTTAATCTTTGTTTTGATTTTGTGTGTTGATAGTATTCAAATGTGTGTGCATCTTTGTGCTTATTGTGTTTATATGGAACAGTACAAGATTAATGGAGTTTATGTCTAAAATGACAAATGTATAAGTATAGGGCTTAATATAGCATTTCATTTTTTTAAAAAAATAGAGTAATTCTCAATATTTAATTTCCACACTGATAGCAAGATGAGTTCAAAATTCAATAATTGTTAGTGTGGATAGATTAGAAGCATAAGTGAGTAGAGTAATAAATGGAGTTTTTAAACAGCTACAAGGTACTTGCAAAGACAGGGTCTATGGACAACATGATGATGATGAACAATAAAAACGTAGGTAGTTTTTCAATGGGAAGAAATATTATATATATATATGTATGTGTGTGTGTGTGTGTTTCTTAAGTTTTTGTGGGTACTTACATGTATGTTATTCAGCTTTGTTCGGGTATTTTCCAATGTCATTATAGCTGTAGCAACGTTTCGGCAGAATCTCATCTGCCATCATCAGGCTTCTGTATTGTGTTCATCTGTGAGTCAGACTTTTACAGTTGTTTCAGTTTTAAATTTGGGGCTAGCCTACTGCTGTGCCAGAATGGTTTTTTCGTCATCCTGATTGGTTGGGAGTCTTGGTCTGTGTTTATTGGTCTTGGAGTTTTCTGTGTTCTGCTTGATTGGTGTTTCTAATATCTTCTGGCTGTTTTGTGGCTTTTTCCTTTTTGTGTGTCTTGATTGGCTGGCAACATTGTGTTCCTGTATTGGAGGCTTTTAGTGCAGCTTGGCTGCGAGTGAATGGATGGCTATCATTTGTTAGGAAGCTAGGTTTCATCTGGGTGCCTGGTTGGGGTGTGTTTGAGCTGGAGGTATCAGGGGGGATCTGTTTGTGCTCAGGTGTTTGCCTGGCTTGTGGTGTGGAGATTTTTTTGTTTGTGAGTGCAGGCTTCCAAATAATTGACAGTCTGGTGGAATCATCTCTTCTATTCATGCTTTCAGGTCGTTTTTCAATCTCTATGGCTTCTCTGATAATTCTGTAGCTGGGGTTTTCTATAGTGGCTAAGGTTTTGGTGCCAATGAAGTTGATGCTATGACCTGTGGCTTTCATGTGTTGGACTAGTGAGGAAGTGTGTCCCAGCTTTTTTACTGCATTTTTGTGTTCATCCAGGCGGATACTAATTCTTCTATTGGTCTGTTCAATGTAGGTGGCCGGGCATGATGCACAGGGGACTTCATATATGCCTTGGTTTTCCAGGTCAATTTTATCTTTGGGGTTTCTAAGGATGGCTGCTATTTTTCTGTCTGTTTTGAAGGAAGTCTTGCTGTGATGCCTGTGCGGTATCTTACTGATTTTGTCTGCAGTACCTCTTATGTAGGGGAGGGCAACTGTTCCATAGGTCTGTTCATCTTCTAGGTCTCCATTATGTCTCAGTGTGTTTTTGTGGATCAAGCCAGTGATTTTGCTTTTGTGGAAGCCGTTGGCTGTCAGTACTTTAGTCAGGGTACATAGTTCAGTCTTTACGTGTGTCTTGTCTGCCAGGCGTTTGGTTTTAGCAATTAGTGTTTTGGCCATGGAGTTTATCTGTGCTGGGTGGTGGTGGGATTGGGCATTGAGGTAGCAATTGGTGTGTGTTTCTTCTGGTATATGGTATGTGGTTTCTTCTTCTGGTATATGGTGTGTCCTAGTGTGCCATCTGTTTTTTTGTAGATTAGTACATCTAGGAATGGTAGTTGTTTGTTTGTTTCCATTTCCATGGTGAACTTGATTTTGGGGTGTGTGCTGTTTAGGTGTGTTAGGAAATTGTTTAGGTTTTCTTTTCCATGGGGCCAAATCACAAATGTGTCATCAATGTATCTTAACCATATTTTGGGTTTGTGGGTGGCATTAGCCAGGGCTCTGGATTCGAATTCTTCCATGAACAGGTTTGCAGTGACGGGTGATAGTGGTGATCCCATAGGGGCTCCTTCAGTTTGCTTCTATCTTTGTATCATATCTATATCTATGTCTATGTCTATGTCTATATCTATATCTATCTATCTATCTATCTATCTATCTATCTATCTATCTATCTAT